ATTTGGATCTAATTAGATCTAGTTTTCCATTTTTTTTATCTTGTTAGATTTAAATTAGATCTATTTAGATTTAATCCATTTTTTCCCGGGTCAATCATATGGAAATTTACACTTTTATTTATTATTAGATCTACTCTTGATCTACTCAGATCTATTATACACATCAGATCTGTTCAGATCTGCTCAAATCTAAGTAAATCTGAGTAGTTTTAATATAGTAGATCTGAGTAGATCTAAAGTAGATTTAATAATATATAAAAGTGTAAATTTAATAGATCTACTTATATTTATTTAGATCTACTTTATATTTATTTAGATCTACTTTATATCTATTTAGATTTAATTTGGATCTAATTAGATCCAAAGATTAGATATTAGATATTTTCCCATTTATAGATTAGATATTTTTCCATTTTTTTTATCTCGTTAAAGTTAGATCTAATCCATTTTTTCCCGGGATTCAAAATAAAAAAAATGGAAATACAAGATAATTCAGACTGACAGCTCTCAGGCATCTTTCTGGTAATCATGATCACGTAAAAAGGCAGTGAATTTCGCGCTATATTTCGAGGCAAAACAACTTGATTAATTGCACTGTATTAGGTCACCATTACGCACAACGATATACCTTGTCTTTTTACATCACGACTGTATAACTATAAATTTTTATAAAAATTTGATATACGTCCAAGCTAAATACCCAGATAGCTAACTGAGTGCAAGTTGTTGGCAACTTGCTACAAATATTGCTCATATGTTTTCAGCAATGTAACAAAAGGGTGTATCCTCTTTTCAGTATGTTCTTGCCAGCAACAGTTTTCAAAATATAATAACAGCAAGTTCCCAACATCTCGTCGGCAATAAACTTATATTATTTTTCTCAACTTATGAATAAAAATTATTGCCCACATATTGCTCACATATTGCTGACTCACTTGTCATAAACATTGGCGCTACAACAATTGATTGACAATAAAACTCAGCATATTGATACTGAATTGACAAAAACATTTTCGTTGCATTAAATAAAAACAACACAACAGCAATTGGCGAGCAACTTAATCTATACAAATGATTTGCTTTATATTGAGTTTTCACATTTGGCTATCTGGGTACGTACTCTTCAATTGCTCGTTCAAAAAGATTTTATTGCACTGATTCCAGTTTCTCGCAAACAATTTACTCGTGGTAAAATATACGCACAAGCGTGATGTGACTTTTACAACAATTATATACATTGTGATATATGCTATGGTATATTATACATGTAAAATGTGTTTGTTATACTTTAGTAATTTATATACAAAAGTGATGTTCGATCTTTACGATGGCCAATCGAGATCTTGAATCTTCTTTTGATTGTCGTTCGAAATACTCATAAATATTTGTATAGATGAAATGTTTTTTTATGTTATTTCAAGACGCTAAATGCAACTTCAACAATTTCTTATATTTTGTTCATATTTGATTCATATATTGTCACGTATTTTTATCGCAAGTACTGTCGTATACCACGGTATAACTTCTCGTTTCTGTTTCTCGTGTTTCCGGATAGTGATCGCGTTTATAGTGGAAAAAGATCTCGACATTGCTGTCGTACGGTTTCACAAACGAGCAATTAATCTTCTCCGCAGCCATATAGCAAGCGCCCAACGCCGACGTTGTCGTTAAACTCAACAGACTCAATTCATCCACGAGACGTTTATTGCGAATCTCACCCACGAAACCATTCTTCATGAACTCCCACGATTTCCACACGGATCCGACGCAGATTATCTTCAAGCCGCCGCGAACTAGTTTCAGATCCTGAAAGATAAACGTAAGTCTCAACGTAATCAATAATAAAAATTCAATCGTTTCAATATCAAAGAACATAAAACACTAACGTTGTGCGCTTTTTTCGCGAGAGCGTTGATGTGCTTTGCCAGGATTTGTCCAGCTTCCTCGAAAAGCTTCAAACACAACGGATCACCTCTTTCGCAACCCGTCGAGATTTCTCTGGTGAAATCGGCGATAAAGGTCTTGTCGAAGTTAGCATAGATATACGGTAGTATGCCATTTCTGTCGGTCACGCCGAAGTAATTTTTCATTGCCGGCCACACGTAGCTTGTGGATTCCGGCGCTTTCACCAAATCGTCAATATCGTCGAATACGTATTTGCAAGCGCGATGAGCGATCCAATAAGCTCCTCCTTCGTCTCCCATTATGTGCCCCCATCCTCCGCAGGTGTGGATCTTTCCATCAGGATTAATCAACAGAGCATTGCTGCCCGTGCCGGCGATCAGTACGATTCCACCGGACCCCGAAGCAGTTTTTAAGCTTCCAAGAGTGTCAGAACTGACAACGTAATCTTTGGCCGAATTTGGATACTTTTTTAGCAGAGTATCTACCAGTTGACGATTAGTGTTTTCCTCTTCGCAGCCGCTTAAGCTTAGTCCCTGTGTGTTGAGATAAACATTTACAATTATCTAAAGTACATAGTTCAAGAGACCTTCTCGTTATCTCGCACTCTTTTGTGTTGTTTTTTCAAGTCGTGCATAATTTATACTTATTTGTATTTTTATTTACTCACGACGCAATCTAAAGGAATTGATTCCGATATATTTAGCTGTTGTTTACCCCTTTCGATCATTGCACTGAGTCTGGCGGCAGTTTCGTCCATTCCGATTACCTAGAAACAAAACAGACTCGTTAATTAGAATAGACGCGGCCAAATTAAAATTACAACTGCGACTTATCAAACAATTTAAACTATATTCTTCGAAAGGAGTAAAATGTTTTCAAACACGACAGTAAGCACTTTGAGATAAGCGAAGTTTTTAATTTGAAGTGTATTTACCCAATGATTGGTGTTCGGTCCTTTGACTTCTGTTAACTGCGCGCCTTTTCCGTCGAGTATCACAAGCGTGGAACGCGTGCCGCCTCTGAAAATTAATTAATCGATAATCGGACAAAGTTTTCACAGAGAGATACGTTTTTTCCGATTACCGCAACTTAATTTAAAATACTTTTACGCAAATATTATATTATTTGTTTTTGCTTTCCTAACAACGATTTAAAGCTATAAAGTCGCGTAAATTCACGCGCAAACGCGTTATGATAAGATAAATATTGTAATAAAAGTTTCGGCATGTCCAAAAGAAATTTAAGGAGCAACACAAATTGCTTATTCATGATCTTAAGAAGAAACGATAACGTTCTATCTTGAAATTTGCAATTTGATAAAATCACACTTGTCAAACAAAGATATCAAAGCACACAATAAAGATTTTTATATTGTAACTCTCTTATCACAGAGTTTTCAAAGTGGTTTCTAAACAGGAAGAAAAAATTGTATAACACACAACGCGTATTCCCCAAGTTTCAAAGCTGATAACACTTCTCTCGCTTATTTCAAAAGTATTATTCTACAATTATACAAAATATTATTGTGAAACTCACCCTTCTATACCACCTATTCTTATATCTTCAACTCGTTGCGATTCTTCCCGCGTGGGTTCTGAATTCTTTTCCATCACATCCGCGGATTCCGCCATTCTCGCTTGTTCTCTCAAATCCCTGCGAAGCTGATACTCATCCACAATCTTCTCTTTCCGCTTTCGCGCTTTCTTGCCTTTCTTTTTCTCTGCCATTGTTTAAAATCGATTTTTCTTCAGTTTTGTGCAAAATTTTGTGACGGATGGGATTCAGAGGAATTGCAGAGGATCTGAGAATAGTATGTAGGACAATGATCAAGTATATTCAAAGAATGAAAAAAAAAAAAAACAAATATGTAGGACACAATTATATATTGATACATGTATGTGTTAGAAAATCGGAAATTTTATACATTATCTTGTGATAAACAATTTAAATCGCGTCCACTTTATATTTTCTGGAAATTTTTTTATTACATACGTAATAAAAAAATTTTCAGAAAATAATATATACAGTTACCCTGATAGGAAAACATTTACAAAATTATCTGACAAAATCTTGCACTAAAATTGTAATTTGCAATTATACAGATATATTTTAGGAAATAGATGTAAAAAAACATTGATCTTTTATCAAATATTTGTAGTTGTTTGCAAAATTACTTTCCAAATGCTATTTCGGCAAAAGAATAACGATATGGCGAATCATCGTAGCGGTATATTCGCAAAATTAATTTCAAAAAGAAATTGTCCAATAATTGAGAAAACAATTTCAGCTATGCGATGTTTAAAATATGTAGAAATATAATTGCATATGAAAAAATCAACTTAATTCATATATGTTAAAAAATGCATAACGACTTTTTCGCAATATTTGACAAATATTATTTACAAAATTTTATTTCGACAAAACTGTTGCGTTATGGCGAATCATCTTAGTGCAATCATTGCAGGATCGTCGTTATTCATGATGCCATTTTTGTGCAATATTTTCACAATTTGCTTATAACATTAATAATAATAATTTGTATAAATATTACCGTACTATTGTATAAATATATTACCGTTTATTTATATAAAACGTTTTTTTTTTTTCATATAAATTTTCCGACTAACTTATTTTCGTATCACGAGCAGAAAATATAAATGCTGATAAAATAAATTTCTCCTTGAGGAGAGGCATTTAAAAAAAAAACGTGTCCTTGAAACCAGTTTGCAACTGGATTAATTTTTCTTTTATTCCTGATCTTCCGGTTTTTGCAGTATTGAATCCACTCTAAGTGACTTACAAAAACGTAAGCGCGCGTCTGTAAACTTACTCACTACAAAATTCCCGCTTTCCCACGGCGCCGTCGCTTGAGCGTACGAGAAAATATGGTTTAGTATGTTGCGAGCATGTCAAAAATAGTGAAAAATAAATTTTTCACGTGACTTTCAAAAATTCCGTGAGAAATTGTGTTTTTTTTTTGGAATGCACAACTAGCCAAGACCACTGACGTGAGGCAATAACATTCACCGATCGATGCGGCAAATTCATAGAACAACCGCGTGGTACGATGTTGTTTCCGTTACTGGTTTTTACCGTCGACATTCCGTTCCAACTCGATTCACGCTGCTCTGGCGAACTAGATGTCGCGCGGAAACTTCAGCGGAACGGTTATTCAGTTCATTGTCTTTGCAATGTCAAATCAGTCAATGTTTGTACTTTCCTATTTTTTGTTATGTAAAAATGTGTGAATTTATGTTTTTTACACGCGGATAACGAAACGTACATGTTACTTGTATATCATTTTATTTTATGTACATTTATATAAATTTTTTTATATCGCTAATATACTCTGTCCAGTCCTTCAAATTCTTTCTTCTCGTCGATGTTGCCATTTATCCTTATGGAATTAATTCGCAGCATTGTAAATTGTATCCTGTAGACTGCAAAATAAAATATTATCATATAAGCGAAATTTATATTATTATATTATTACGTAAGCGAAAAAAAGCAGAATATCATCCTCATTATCTTACAATTTATACGGCGATACTGTTTTCTTGGAATAAACCTAAAGCGAGTTTTTGTGTGAGACAAAGTTTTTTCAATAACCGTTGCATCGACCGAAACCAATTCTCTGTTCAATATCGGCCTTCCTACGAGAGTAAAAGCTGAACTTCCAACGAGTAATACTTTCTCCAATTTCAAACGATCGCCTATAGTCGGTGGCCAACCTCCCTCGATAATTAGAATGTCGTTTTCCGTCACTTTGAACTGTTTCCCACATATCTGCACAACTGCAAACATACGGCCAACTTTGTTCCTTGCAATTTGATTGTTGATTTCATTTGTTACGTCTGTAATGCAAAATAAACAAGTTTACAGGAGTTATTGAATTACAAACTTGAATGATCACATGAACAAAAATTAGTAAACTAAAAGTTAACGACCAGTGCATATCCTTTCTCTTTCTTCGTCCCATTCTTTCACCTCTGTTTGATAATCCGGGATTGTGTTTAACCATGATGGTTTGACTGTTCGCATTTGTGCCACTGGCGTTTCCCACAATTTCAGTGCTAAAAGAAAAAATTGTGCGTCAATATACTCTAATAGACACATTTGTTAAAATATTGCACAAAAATGGCATCATGAATGGCGACGATTTTGCAATGATTGCACTAAGATGATTCGCCATAACGCAACAGTTTTGTCACAATAAAATTTTGTAAATAATATTTGTCAAAAATTGGAAAAGAGTCGTTATGCATTTCCACAGTACAATACCTCCAATAGGCAAATTGTGAAAATATTGCACAAATATGACATCATGAGTGACGACGATTTCTTGCATTTCTTCATATGCAATCATATTTCTACATATTTGAAACATCACATAGCTGAATTTATTTTCTCAATTATTGGACAATTTCTTTGTGAAATTAATTTTGCAAATATACTGCTAAGATGATTCGTCATATCGTTATTCTTTTGCCGAAATAGTATTTGAAAAGTAATTTTGCAAACAACTACAAATATTTGATAAAAGATCAATGTTTTTACATCTATTTCCTAAAATATATCTGTATACCCAGCAAACAATTTGGTTGTCATTTGTCGCGATTTTGTCGTCAACCACCAAATCCATCTGTGTCTTCAGTAAGATATGGTTTCAGTGAGTTTTGGTGTTGCGTCCTTTGTATCTGTGTGTTAACAGCTTTGGCAGCACACAAAGCATGTTTCCGTATTGTAGCGTTTCTGCACACAGTTTCTGTTGCCAGGTCTGCGCAGTCAGAAATTGTTTGCTGGGTAATTGCAAATTACAATTTTAATGCAAGATTTCGTCACATAATTTTGTAAATGTTTTCCTATCAGAGTACCAGTACAAAAAATCAAACACATGATGAATCAAGTGAGAAAAGTTATGGGTAAGAGATACAGTGATTGGCCACTTAAGGAAAACTGCACTATATAGAGTGAATTATAAAATTAAATTTAATAACTTTTGAAGTAAATCTTCAGTACTACTAGCTCAAACAAACTATAACAATTGCAAATAAACAAATAAATTTATTAGAAAATTTGAAAAATTATTCAAAATTTGATAAAATTCTTCCTATAGTCAAAATAGACAGTTATCGACCATATGAGTTCTGTGAGTATCTGTTTACATAACAGTTATCATAATACATTTTTTGTTTAGACTTATGAAGATATAGTAATGAATGTTTTATTTATAACACATTAAAAACTAACAAACACTTGCATTTGTATCTATAACTCAAAATAAGAGGCCAATGACTGTCATTTGGTTTTCATAACGTTAAAAACAGTGATTGGCCAGTTGGCCAATGTTTGTCGTATAACAATAAGAGTTTTTGAGCTTCTTAAATACTATAATATTACTTTTATTCGGAGCAGAAAAACTTAATTAATATTAAAATGTTTATAATTTAGAATATAATGATAGTATTTGTTTATATTTATTACTTCTTTACTACATGGCCAATTACTGTTGGGAGGCCAATAACTGTACTGTTTACCCCTATTTCGGCGGTTTGATTTGTTTCACAGTTTATACAGAAGTGTCAGTCGTAAAATGAAAAACAAATTTTTACCAGGATACTGTTTATTGCAACTTGCGATTGGTGTCACTCTTCTTAAACAAGTGCTCGCCGCGTAATTAAAAATCCTTGAAAATCCAAGTAGAGTCGTCATCGTGTACTGTTACTGTTCGAATTTATCTCTCAGAAAATTGTTTTCTCTTTTTATAATTTAATTTGTATATAAAACACACGTGTAGAGATACGGTTGAAGTTTAATGAGATCAGCTGATCGTTTGTTCTACCGCGCACGCGCGTAAGATTCGTTTCCTATTGGTCTTCACACTGTGACGCAGCAATGAGAGCGGTGGGGACACGCGCACAAGCGAGAACCCATGGACGTATAAAAATGAGTGTTTTCCAGGCAGGGCCACCAAACTGCGTGTACCAGCGTTAGTGGCGCCTTCTATAATAAGGCGTACCTGGCATATGAACTAAATACGAATGTGTAAGTGAATACGTGTGA